CACGTACCTTCCCTGTGAATTGCCACTGAAGTGATTTCCAAAGGATTAGTATGGAAACATGCAGTGTCCTCAGTCTTTGCCCCACTGCTGTGGCTTTGGCTGTATCCGAAATGCCAAGTCAGCCCCAGCTCAGCTGAAGCAGCTGTTTCTTCCCCCAGCCCCAGGGACACAGGGAGAATGAAAAGCATGCACCAAGGTCCACTACAGCCACCCCAAGACAGGAGAGCAACTCTCTGGAGAAGCAGGGCAGGTGAACTTGCATATATTCAACTGTGCTTCATTCAGCCCACGGTTTGTGTTTCGACCACAGAGCCTGAATATATTCTTAGAATTATTATAAATTCAACTTCCTTCTTTCATCAATATATGGAAGGTAAAGGGTACTGCAGGTGTAACAAGGGGGCTGAAGCCTTGCTGAGAGTGATGCTTGGCAGCTGGGTTTCTGCAGTGTCTAGAAGGAGCATCTTTGATCTCACCATTAACTTTAAGCCTTGGTTTTAGGCACTTAGAAATATCTGTTGCTGTTTCACCTAGCAATAACGTATTCATCGCTACCCTGCCACTCTAACAGCCCAGAATGAAATGTGACAGCATTTTGCAGCCACCTTAAAGGGAGATAAATGTGCAAAACCTGTATAACAGGGCTATTCCTAATTCCGAAAGACTCTTGGCCCATCCTGAGAGAGGAAGACTTTTGAGAGCCATTTCCAGCTCTCACATCGAGCTGCTGTGTATTGCTTGATGGTTTGTGAACCGGCCCCTGGACCTTCTCTCCTCCCCTCCTCTGCGCAACAAGAACCATCAGGCTCATCCAGCCTGCAGTGAATAACTTAACGTTTGCAAAATGTTGACAGATCCCAAGGTGCCAATGCTACCCCATGCTATTGCTCATTTCTCCCAGATTATTAAATTCACACCTGTGAAACTAGGCTTGTAAAAGTGACCAAGAGCGAGCGAGCTTTCCTGCAGCACACTTGAATCTCAGGAGCCCTCCTTGGGGTCCAGCAGCTTATCAACAATTTTCTTTCCAAGGAGCAGGCAGGTTCGACAGAAACCCTCTCTGATGGATAGAGTCAGCGACAGGCAGCTCGTGATGGGGCAGGAGACTAAACCAGCCAACTCTCCCTCCCTCCCTGGCAGCCAAGCCTCAGCCCTGCCTAGGGACCCGGCGGCAGGCAGCCAGCCTCAGCATCCTGCCGGTACCCAGCCCCACCTCTGCTTTTCCCATTCAAGCCTTGGCTGGTTTTTCCTCCACAAGTGCTTTAACTCCGGATCTGAGGCACTTGGGAGCAAACTTTCCGAGACGCTTTAATATTGTGTAACTAGCCTACAAAGCAAAGCGGCCGCAAATCATCTTCCAGCCGCATTATCAAGCACTCGAGAGAGGATCGTGCTGAGTAACTCACACACACAAATAGCAAGGGGTTTCCTTTTGTCATTTTTTTTCCTCCTACCTGCTCTGGCTCCCCAAGCGTTTCGAGTTCCCCCGGAGGTCTCCCGCAGACAGGAGCGGCCTGGGATTGAGGATCTATGTTATTTACTGCACTACAATCAAGTAGCGTCCCGGTCGCCTAGGCAATGACATTGGAGCTGTTGAAAGCTATGTGAAAAGTGAGGCAAAGGCTTGTGCGCTCCTTCCTGGAATAGGAGGCAGTTGCAAGGGGGTGGGGAATGCTCAGCCAAGCGTGCCGGGGAATTAAGCTGGTCACCAGCGCCAAAGTGACTCCGGGGCAAGCTGGCTCTCGGGGCTCCGGCAGCGGCAGCCACCCAGCAGCGCTGCACCCAAGGCGGCTGCTGGGGTTTAATCATGATGGAGAGGGGAAGGAGGCTCGACGTAGACCGCCGCTCCGAAGTAGGCTCTTCCCCTCACCAGACTGATGGCTGAGTCGGTTTTGTGCTCGCGTTGGTCAAAATGACCAGCTCATCCCTCTTGGGGTGTCAGAGGACCGGGGCAGCCTGCCTGGCAGACCAGCAAGGGCCCTGCGTTACACCGCGCTGCGTCCCGCGGTGGGAAAAATGGCTTTGCCAAGATGCACGTGGAGTGGCAGTGGATGAAGATTGACTATTTCTGATTAAAAACCATCAGCCATGAGACTAATTATCTGCGTCGTGTGGACTCACTGGTATACCTTCTCACTGGCACCCGTTTTCAAAAGCTACTGTTTTGCTGGTCACTTGCCCTTTAGCCTGTTCTCGGTGACTTGGGGAAAACGGCGAGCGGTGTTCATTACTGTTAAATCATCGGCTGCACGTTTAAGTCCCCCGCCTCCATTTAGAGACTAACCGCCAACGCTCTGCCCGCAGGCACCCACACTTCGCTTTCCAGGGCAGATGGTGACTGTAGAGCAGCTGTCACGTTCTGTCCCTTCGTTATGGGTAGGGCCGGAAAACAGATGCCTTTACCAGCCCCTAAACACATCGGAGTCGCTGTAACCAGTTTTGGGGGCCTAAATGCCTAATCCGTAATGAAAACAAGACTCAAATGCCTGCTCCGATCCCGAGGTTTATTTTTTAAATGACGGTGATCGTATTCTCCAAACAAGGAGGTGGGGTCCCACTCAGAGCGCTGCTCTCGCCGGGCACGGGAGCCGGGCTGCTGCCCGCGAGGGGCTCGCTGCCCACCCACAAATGCAGGGGGGGTACGGGCTGGCAGGACCGAACGAGGAAGACCTGCGTTACCCCCCCCCACTGCTGGGTGGCCGGCCAGCAGGGAAGGGACACGGGGGCCTCCTCAGCTTTTGTGCTCACTGCCCGAAGGACCAGACCATTTTTAGGACACAGACGTCCCCGTCACGATCTTCGGTCCCCCCCCCGTTGGCTCAGAAAAACCGTGCGCCCAGCCTGGCAGCTGGCTGCACCCGGGGGGCTGTTTACCGAGGGAATATGTACCCTGGGAGGGGTTATCCAGGCTTCTCCCCCTTAGCTGGCGATTCTCGGCTCCTTCTCCCCCCAAAACTTTATTTATTTATTTATTCATTCATTCTAATCCAATTAGCAGCCTGTTTACTGGCATATTTCTATTGCAATTTGCAGTCCCTCTGTCCTAGCTGGGAAACCTTTCAGGGCATCCCGCCTAGTCCCCCCGTTGCCGTCAGTAATTAGCCAGGAGGAGTAATTAGCCCGGGCGCGGGATGCTGCCCGCGGAAAAGCGCCGCAGTAGGAGGAGCTCTCGGGCGATGGGAGGCTTGGCCG